CCAAGCCCCCGTGCAGGCAGCCCTGGGCCCCACGGGCCTCACATGGCGGGCGGCTGCCCAGGTGCGGACGGAACTGGAGCGCCGCACAGGGCACAGCCTGGCCCAGCACAAGGACTTCATTGACAACGAGATGCTGCTGGTGTTGGCGCAGATGGACCGGCCCTCCCGCATCTTCCCGCACCTCTACCTGGTGGGCACGGCGGGCCGCAGGGCACGGCAGGGGGTGGCACATGGCAGGGAGCAAAGGCATTGCCTATGCCCATCCTGTCACCCCCTTCTGCCTGCACAGGGCACAGCCTGGCCCAGCACAAGGACTTCATTGACAACGAGATGCTGCTGGTGTTGGCGCAGATGGACCGGCCCTCCCGCATCTTCCCGCACCTCTACCTGGTGGGCACGGCGGGCCGCAGGGCACGGCAGGGGGTGGCACATGGCAGGGAGCAAAGGCATTGCCTATGCCCATCCTGTCACCCCCTTCTGCCTGCACAGGGCTCTGAATGGAACGCAGCCAACCTGGAGGAGCTGCAGCAGAACCGGTGAGCAGGAGCCATGACCAGGCTGGTGGGCCATGGGGCACTCAGCTGGGAGGGTGTCATGGCATTTGGTTGTGTTGGCATGGGGTGGCATGGGTTGGCCAGCTGGGAGAGAATGGGAACGTCATGGGTGCCAGCTGGGTGTGGATGGAGGTTCATGGGTCCCCACCTGGGAGGGCATGAGAACATCAGTGGGTGTCTGGCTGGGTGGGCTTGGGGACATCATGCTGCAGCTGGCATGGTGGGCATGGGGCTGTCACGGGACATCCAGTGGGACTGGCATGGGTCTGTCATGGGGCACCTAGCTAGGTAGGCCTGGGGCCATCATGTAGCATGGACACATTTGGCTTGGGGCACAGCTAGGGAAGTGCATAATGGAGCAACCAGCCGGGGGTGGGCATGAGGGCTTGCAGGGCACCCTTGGGAGGCATCCTGTGGCACCTGCAGTGAAGGCATGGGACATCATGGGGCACAGCATCCAGTAGAGCGCCCTGATTCTCCACTCTGATCCACGTGGGCACTACTATGATCCTCCTGCCCTGGTGCCCATGTCCCCTGTATCTTCAGGGTTACCCACATCCTCAATGTGGCACGGGAGATCGACAACTTCTTCCCAGCACTGTTCACCTACATGAACGTGCGGGTGTACGACGAGGACACAGCCCAGCTCCTGCCACACTGGAATGACACCTTCCTCTTCCTCTCCGATGTCCGGTCAGTGGGGCCAGATGCGGTCGGGGATGCAGAAGGCGGTAGGGGGTGACACAAAGGGACATAGCCTGGCACAGGGGGACGGAACTTTTGTAGGAAGGGGGCACCAGTGGGTATACGGGGTAGACCAGGGAGGTGGTAGGGCACTAGGGGACTGGGTGCAAGGAGCATGAGGGCACTGGGGACACGACTGTAAGGGAATCTGGGGGGCAGGGTATTTGGCTGGGGACACAGGTGCCAGGGCACTGGGAACCATGGGGGCTGAGGTCCCTGGGGATACTGGGAGCCTTGGGCACCTGAGTCCAAGGGCACTGGGAACACTGGGACTGGGGGCCCTGGGGACATTGGGAGCCCTAGGGACCTGGGAGCCCTGGGGACCTGAGTCCAAGGGCACTGGGAATACTGGGGCTGGGGGCC